ATGAGTAAACTTCAAAATACTGACATATTCAAACGCTGACATTAAGTTCATTAAAAGATTTGATTATATGGAAGAGAAAGTCTTATACTTAGCTTTTTTGCATTTTATTAACCATTCCTTGAAAAAAAAAATCAAATTCCTGGAATCGTATCTTTTTAATTTTGAGGCTAAAAGTTTTTTTTTCCATCACCAGGTATAAATGAAGGCAGAGACCCATTGCCTGTGGCTAAGACATGTTTGATTGCTAGAAGAGAACTTTGAGGTCTTTGACCCTTTCTGGGCACATGACTGACAAGACATGAGGCCTTCAATAGAAAGTTTAATGATTACAGGACATACAGGGCTGCAGAGGGAGTCTCCACCAGAGGGAGCCATGTGACTATGTCAAAACATAATCCTCTGTCTGGCTCTACCTTATTTCTCTTCAGCCAAATGACGAAATCACAAATTCTAAGAAAATCATCCATCTTCATTCTCAGCAACAACAGGGAACATCGTCAGTCACACATCTGACCTCTGTTTTGTGAGGCTTTCCAAACATAGCTGACAACAGAGATGTTTTTGTTGTTGGATCACGGGTCTCAGGAAAAAGCAGGCTTATCATTCTTACTATGTAAAATGTGATTTTGTTGGGAGCTTTCAAAAGAAACCTGGAGCGTCAACAAATCTATTAAATGTAAATGAATCCGAGTGATATAGACGATCGCCTCCTCTATCGATGGATTTTCTGTATCTGTGTTGTATTTTCTCTCAATTAAACCAGGATGTTGTGCTTGATCAGCTGAACTGAGCCTATACAGCATTTTCTAACTTGCTCATAAACACGCTGCATTCAGTATTTACTTGTATCGAATCAAGTACATTAATATGTTAATTCATTTAACAGGGACAGTGCACGTTAATAAACATCTCGGTAAATATATAAGACTTAGCACAGAGGCTTTTTTCATCTGTTGTCCCTCGACAGATGTGCAATGAATAAAATGAGGGATATTAAAGTTAATAAAAACACGGACTGTGCATAGACTTGTAAACAAAGATGGACAACACCTCTCCACTTTCTCCTAAAATCCAGAAATGAAGCCAAATTATCTCAGATACAAACGCTGCCGTCTTGTGCCGATGAATCAGGATTATGACGTTTTACTTCGTGTTTATGGAATCAACAAAATAAAAATGAAGGCATGGACATCCATCAGTGATAACTTCCTAAAATGTCCTAAACAATCTTGGTGAAAAATGTGTTTGCGTGTTTGGTCTCTGTCCCATCTAATAATATAGAGGAAGCAGGATTTATGAGTTTTACTGCAGCCAGCCACCAGGGGGCAATCAAGATGTTTTGGCTTCACTTTTGGGCGGCCACTTTTTGAAGTCATTTACAATTCACATTTACTCAAGTAAAATTGTGAACCCATCTGTGTCTCCTCTATTTATAATTTAACATATTTCCAGATCCAGATTTTGTTCTTTGAATCTTCCATCAAAGAGCTACTGATTTTCATCTTATCTCTTGATCTTTATGATGTTACAATCATTTGGACTTTTTTTTTTTCACACACTAAAATACAGACCTTTAATTATGTTTGGAGTCATTGTGACCTAAAGCAAAGAAGGGGAGCGATTCAGTGGAGGTCCATGAAAGTAACATTTATGCTATAACCTGAGACCTTGTGGTCTCTGTTATTTTTGATTTTCCCCGAATCTCGTGTCTTTGAGCAAACAGAGGACATTGACAAATTTAATGAAAAGCCCTGATGCATCGAGCTGAAGATATAGAGTTTCATGTTTTTAGATTACAAACGGTGACCAGGGTCGAATCAACCTGGAGCACAGGACCATTTGAATTTGAAAGTGACAGTGGTGGGACTCTCGATCCATCTGTAACTGTTGAACGTTTCTTTCCAAAATAAAAAGGGAATCACCACCAATCATTCTGATTGCAGGTTTTCAACGAATGAAGTCTGATGCTCAACGATTTCCCTCATCTTAGTCCACATATAGAAAAATCCACTGCTTACAATGCACTAAAAGATAAAGTCTGTCCATGTCTGAAAACACTGATTACGAAGAACGCTTTCATCAGCTGATCCACTCAAGGTGTTTTGTAGAGGCAGTCATATAACGTTAGAGTTTAATCTGTTATCTTAAAGGTTCAACTTTAATCTTGAAATATTAAGTTTATTCTCAATATTTCTACATTTCTGATTTAGTTTTAATTTATTTTTTATATTTCTACTTTCTACTTAACATTTTTTATATTATATCTGGCCCTGATATTCTTCTGTACTTTCAAATCTGCTAGATTTATTTTTATGAATTTTTCTACGGGAATATAAGAAGACGTCTAAAAAAGTTTAAAAAAACAAACAAACAAAATAACAAAAAAACTAAAGAAATGCAAAAAAAATTGGGATGAAGATGAAAGAAAGTGATAAAAGAACATTTCTGATAAAACAATATAATATATAGAATAATACAATTGTCATAAACTATATTTTGATATGTGATGGATGAGATTTTTTACGCTTTAAATGATCCACAAGCACATTTTACTAAAGAATATATTTTTGCTTACTGCAAATATGACCTGTGAATACAATTTATCAACCTGATATAAATAACTATTAAAAAACAACTAGTTGTTGACGTTTAATTCTATTAATTCTCACCTTTATTCTTTAATTGCTTACTCACATATTTGCATATTCTTGTTATTCTCCTCATATTCAACTCTGTCTCTTTGTGGTTCGCCTCCTGGAGCTTTCCACAGATGCAGTCGCTGTGGATGCTGCACACTTTCCACTGTTTTGGAGGAGGAGGAGGTGGAGAAAGAGGAGGGGGGGCAGTCGTGTGCGTCAGTAAGTAACATGTTCCAATAACGGACTATATCATCTGCTGCTATTTGCAGTTTGCTGTAGCCAGGCACCAGGCTGAGCTGCAGAGAGAGAGAGAGAGAGCTGCAGCCGGAGCGTTTCTTGTTGCTGCTCTGTGATGGAGACGCTCTCAGAAGGAATGACACCTGCGAGGCAACTGGCAGAAAACAGGTATGATCAAGTTAGTTGAATTATGTGGAGCGCACAGTGATGACTTTATAAGTGAGCTTTATACAGAGATCGTTAATGCATTCTTCAATTTCGCCCAAGTTGCACGATGCACTTGCAACATCATTTCATCACCATGGCAGCCACTTGATATCATTTCTTGTCGGAGGATGATTTATCAATATCAATGTCTTCTAAATATTTTCTCTCTTCACTTGAAATAAGAACTTGACTGAAATAGAATTCTTAGTGTCAGGGGCGGATCCAGGGGGTGAGGCCAGGGGGGGCACTGGCCCCAGCTGAAATCTGATCGGCCCCTGTTCTTTCAGAAATCTTTAAAAAAAACACTTACTAACAATAAATTTGACAATTAATGATTTTTCTGATTTACAAAAATGTTCTGATGTGGTGTGTTTCTTTGTTTAAAGATGTAGACATATAATGGACATATAATTGCCCCTGCCCACTCTGCTTTAATTGTGGCCCCTGATTAGAAAATCCTAGATCCGCCACTGCTTCGTGTATTTTGCATTGATCAAAAATACAGTGAGATTATCTGTAAAGATTTTTCTGGCTCATGGTATCCTCAGGAGTTTGGACATGTTGCCTGGCAATTCCAGCTGCAACCCCCTTAAAAATACACTGAGCCCATTCGCTTCATGTCCTGATCCTTTGCGGCAGGAATCTAACCTTTACCCCTGGAACTACAAGCACCACGCCAAAGACAGCCCAGTCATCAGAACCTAAGCTGTAAGAGGATGGCAGGAGGAGTGAGGAGCAGCACGAGGATGGTGGACGGACCAGGGTTTCCTGTCAGGTTGTTGGCGGTGTTCGTGCTGCTGGGGGCTGATCTGAGCTGGCTCGGCTTGAAGCAGCGGTTTGGGGTCAACGGCCAGAACACTGAGAGACGGGTACTGGCACACATTCCCGGTGACATCATCATAGGAGCTCTGTTCTCTGTGCACCACCAACCACCTGCAGATAAGGTACATGCTGTAACTGTGTTTACGTTTGAAAACTTTCCTCTCGTGTATACGTGATAAATACATGTGTTACACTTCGCTCAGGTCCATGAGAGGAAGTGTGGAGCGGTGCGGGAGCAGTATGGGATCCAGAGAGTCGAGGCCATGATGCACACGCTGGATCGAATTAATGCAGACCCCACTATCCTCCCCAATATCACATTGGGCTGCGAGATCAGGTCAGAAACCAAATCACAAATCTTATCATCGTGTTCTTATATCGTGAAACAATATGGGTGAACTTTGATTTAATATCCAGTCATGCACTCATGGAAAATGGTTTTGTTTGCCTCTAAAAGACGTAAACAACTGATAACTGGCACATCTAGATTTTTTTTTAATAGTCAAATAATGACAAAGAAAGGTTTTTGTAATTAGGATTAGCATTCTGTACGACTGAGGATGTTGATTTGTGCCAGAATGAGACACAATAGGACAGACGGCGTGTTTAAAGAGTCTTTACTGAGCCAAGGGTCAGGGAGTAAATGGGGGAGGTGTCAGTCAGCAGCAGGGGAGGACAGATTGGAGACTTGAAGCAGGAGGCAGACTTCCACTGACGATCGTTGACTACTGACCCAACAGTGGCTGCAGGAATCAGGACAAGACAAGAAACGACATGTTGTGCAAACCAGAGAGGCAGTAAAATCTTTCAGACACAGGCAAAGGATGGTCAACAAAAAGGGATTTTTTAACTAACATACTGAAGCTTGATTGGACCAACTTACCCTGAATTATTCTCTGAGAAATAAAGAAAAATTTCAAAAAACGCAATTCGTGGATCCGTTCCCTTCTCCAGATCTGATTCAAAATTGAATTGGTTCTTCCTTGACCCGTGTTCCAATCCCTCTACCAAGTTTTGTGAAAAATCCACTGAGTAGTTTTGGCTGTATCCTGCTGAAAATCAAGAAAATGAAGCAGATCTTCCAGAGTAGTTTTTAATAAACTTGATTCTGAACAAACCAACCAACAAACAAATGGACAGTGGTGAAAACATAACCTCCTTGGCTGAGATAGCTACAGACCTATGTATTAAAATTCAAGTGGATTTTTAAAAAGCATGAGGGACAGGCTGTGTGAGCATCCAATTGGCGTCTCCGAGCGATCATCACCTCTTATTCCCGCTTTGCTCGCCAAGACAACAACGTGAACTTAATCCGCCCACACCAGGGACTCGTGCTGGCACTCTGCTGTGGCTCTGGAGCAGAGCATCGAGTTTATTCGGGACACTCTGGTGTCCAACAAAGAGGAGGAGAGCCAGGTGAAGTGTGCTGCAGAGGCAGGGAGCTCGCTGCTCCAGGGGAAGAAGCCCATCGTGGGTCTGATCGGACCAGGGTCCAGCTCTGTGGCCATCCAGGTGCAAAATCTCCTCCAGCTCTTCAACATCCCACAGATCGCCTACTCCGCCACCAGCATGGATCTGAGTGACAAGGTAAGTTCAATATCAAAGTTTGTTTGTTTGAAGTTTGTCACTTTTTAAACTTCAAACAACAACAACTATCTTAAAGATGATTTTCATAAAATACTTATGCATTCAAGCATTATCCACTATATCTGTTACATGTCATAAATTCTGTATGTAAGTGTAAGAATTTTAAAATCAGCTGTAATCATCTGGTTTGTAATCAATCCATCTATCATCCATCATGCCATCCATCCTTCATCCATCCATCCATCATCCATCATCCATCCTTCATCCATCCATCCATCCATCCAAATTTGTCCCCACAGAGCCTGTTTAAATATTTCATGAGGGTGGTGCCATCAGACATGCAACAAGCCAGAGCTATGGTCGACATCGTCAAGAGATACAACTGGAGCTACGTGTCCGCAATACACACAGAGGGTAAGACTGTGTGTGTGTGTGTGTGTGTGTGTGTGTGTGTGTGTGTGTGTGTGTGTGTGTGTGTGTTGCTGCTTAACATTTGTCATCATATAAAAGAACAGTTTCTTTATTTTACATTTCTCATATTTTCTTTTGGAAGTATACGTCTGATTTTCAGTACTTACCTCAAAAGAACATATATTATTACCTGCAGGTAAAACTGACGTTCAGAGGGAGGAAATAAATATTAACAGATGAAGTAAGATGACTATAGCAGGAGAGGAATTAAGGTAAATTTGCAAAAAAATGCAGGGCTATATTATCACTTAAGAAAACATGTCACATACGAGAGTGAACCACACATGAAATAGTGAAAACGAACAGCGTCGTGCCGAGACTGAGAGTAAACTTGCAAAGCCACAGAAACTAGGTGACCTCATTTCCAGCAAAAACAGAGGAGTCTCCCCCCTGACAGTTCCCATAACAGAGACTAAATCATCAGATCCTCCAGTGTTGTGGTACAACATCTGTGTATTTGATTGTCCTGTGTCCGTGTGTGCGTTTTGTGTTTTCAATTTTAAATTCTGAAGCACAAGGTAACTAAATACTGGGTTTGTGTTTATGAGCAACAATCCATTTCCATTCCCATCTATAGGTAACTATGGGGAGAGCGGTATGGAGGCATTTAAAGACATGGCAGCTAAGGAAGGCATCTGCATCGCCCACTCTGACAAGATTTACAGCAACGCAGGGGAACGGAGCTTCGATAAGCTGCTGCAGAAACTACGAGCCCATCTGCCCAAAGCCAGGGTGGTCGCCTGCTTCTGCGAGGGCATGACAGTCCGAGGGATACTTATGGCCATGAGGCGACAACGTCTGGTGGGAGAGTTTCTGCTGGTTGGAAGGTGAGAGTGCATCCATGAGTGCATTTCTCACCTTTGGTTTTTTTTTGCTTTGATTTAAAGAATTGGCGAAATGATTTGTGCATCAGGTGTTTTAGTGTCATGCATTGATTTTCGATCCAGGCTTTCTTCAGATGCTTGACATCATCAGTCAAGGTGTGTTTGTTGTCATGGCAGCCATCTTTGTCCTCTCATCATCATCATCCTCCTCCTTGTTATCATCTTTATCGCATCCATCGACTTCATGGTGAGCAAGGACACTCAAGGTATTTTTTTTTATTAAATCTTTTATATTTATATGTCATAAACTTTCAAGTGCCAGATTTTTGTTTATCATGAAATCAGATAAACACGAGTGTCTCACATTCACGCCCATTAATCATAAATCAATATTAAACAGCATTATAGTGTTATTGATAGTTGTAAAAGTAAACTCAAGAAAACGAGTTAGACGTCATTTAAAGTCATAGGTCACTTAACTAATTAGGCAATTCATTGATAAACCCTGGATGTTCTTCCATATGATTATATGCAACAACCTACTCCACATGACATTGTGGAAATACCCCAGTTCAAATGTAGAATGCTATGTTTTATTTCTTATGTTACTTTAAACAGAGACGATGTTAAAGACTGGGCATAATGTGCAGGAGAGAATGTATGCAATTAGAAAACATGAGGGAGGAAAATAAGAGGGGGTTGATGTAGCAGGAGGACTCAGCCTCTCTGAGAATAAGGTTTTATTTTAAGGTTTAGCTCTCTGGCTCGCTCTCCTCCCTGCATGGTGTTCTATAAATGCCTCTCCTCATTAGGAGCCACATATGTAGGCTGTCGCTCAAATCTGACAGCAGGAAACAGAAAATAACCTTGAACTACATATTTCAAAAAAAGCTCTAAAAAAAACAAGCTCTATAATCCATGTTAATATGTAATAATATAAATGTTAGGAATCATTGTTCATTTGTAAAGCTGTGTAGAGGAAGATGAAGGGTAATAAGATTTGAGTTGTACCGTTGAGTACATGTCTCGTTTTGATGCACATGCATTGACACGATTACAGAGTTCTGTCCTTCTTCAACGTCACTGTGTTGGCTGCTTCGTCTTTCTTGTTAATCCGTTTTGTTACCTGCACAAACCGTGTCAGCCTGAAGGATGTGTTATATATATGTATGTGTTCATGCAGTATATTCTGAGCTTCCACTTATAGAAAGAGAGAACTGCAGAATCGTAGGGAGCAGATGAGAAAATACGATTTTTTTTGTTAGTTTTTTTTATCACGAGAGAATTGTGCCTTGGAACCGAGATGCTGCAGGAGGCTTACGTTATGGTTTCTCTTTGTTATTACCCTGTTGTTAGCGTGATGGCTCGAGGGACGGTGCACGGTTAGATCCAGACTTGACAGCTATTGGTTGGATTGCTATTATCATGATCCTATAATTCTGCCATTCGACAAAACATTAGCACAAAGGTGTGATTCTGGATCAGGGGCGGATTGTTCTCTTTCTCTAACATTGTGAGACAGAATAGTTCATGGATCTTGATTTTAAAGAACCAGGCATGTTTAGAGGACTGATATTTACGAGTGCGGATCCAAACAAATATCTGGATCTGGTGACTTTAAATGTGGTTTAATAATATCTGTTGGGACTTAGCGGAGGTATGTGCTCCCTGGGTGACCTTCTGAATTCGAATTATTTCCACTGATTAGCTGCACATCGTTTGGTTGGATTCTTCATTCTTTCCCCTAACTACTTACATGGACCTGCTCCACTAGAATCCTCTGCAGGGTTTACACTGAGGTGTGTATCAGAGGAGCCCTTCTCCAACCAACTACATTTTCCTTGGGTCTTCAAGTAAAGCAACATGATCCCCCACTGGCTTCCTTCCTGAACACTTTCATTTGTGCTCACCTGACTCTGTAGGAAACGCAGCAACCGCGGTATCTCAGGTCATGGGAACGTGTTTCCTCTCTTCTGTTCAGACAACTGTTTCATTTCTCTCTCTTGATATTTTGGTTCGTTTTAGAAACGGACGCTGTTCCAGGCGCTGCAGGGCTGCAAAGTGTCCACTCAGATGGAAATTCAACTATCATTGTGCTATATGAGTTGAAACGAGAGCACTTGTGTGTCTTCAGGCTCGTAGGTGGTGGAGCTGCATCTCCAGCACGCTGCCCTCCCAGGTCGCTGTGTGGGTTTCCGAGCTCTCGTTCTGGAGTGATTCAAACTATCCTGAGTCAAAGCCCTCCATGCTTTTCATATCCAGCCCTGCCTTTTCTATGCCAGTGTGCAATTTCTGCGCTTGCTCCTCTAAGGATGTGTTATGAAATGATCTCCTACCTCAACCAGGCATCATGAAACACCCACGCTGCTGTTGTGTAACTCTGGGTTGGTGAAGTTTAAAAAAAAATGTCTTCTTATGCTTTTTTTTTTTCTCTGTCGGTCAGAAATAGAAGAGAGCGATTCTCTGTGTCAGTGAGGTGAGCGTGTTTACATGCGTGCACGTGTGGAGGTGTAATCACACCTCTGTTTTGGTTGATTGTAGACCAGTGTCCAGAGGGAGAGATAATAATAGACAGAACAGAAACCTTTTCAGACGGTTCACTGATCACAGCTTATTGAATCCGAGCCCACGGTGTGTTTTTGAATAAGCAGCAGATCAGATGTCTGCAGACGCTGTTGGTGTTTGTCTGGTTTGTTAGGAATCAGATGTCTAACTCTCATCAGAGGGTGTACAATCAAACTTTAACTAATAATTAATCATAAGTTTAACAATTCTAAGTTGCAAACCAATATTTGCTCTAACTTCATAATTAATTATTATTAAAAACACATTGGTTCGCACATAATAGCATTTTTCTCTGTATCAGTTTGTGTATCTGCAATTAATTGACACAGATATTTATTTATTCCTATTTTCAAAGTCAAGCAAATCCAGCTGAAGTTATGTGACTGTGGAACTCAACTCAACACTGCATGCTTTAAAAGACACAGCAGGTCTTTCTATCATCGACCTCTGATCCCTGGAGGTTTATCACAAATCATCTCTGCACATGAACGCAATTAAACATTTCCACTGAACAACTCTTCAACTTGGAGAGTCATAATCTTTATTCAACTGTGACTCTTCATTAAGTTCATTTTATGAGGCACCACCTGCTGTTTGAAACTTAATTGTGAAGCAGGTATAAACAGTTTTAGTTCGGAGGTGAAAGTTCAACTTCATAGTCCTGATGATGTTTCCACTCATCGGCTCTGAGGTCTTTCCTATATTTCAGGTTCAAGTGATGATATTTGCCAAGAAAGAAATCTGAGAGAGACATAAAAACATGTCTCTGTTCTAATGGCCATCATCAGTTGTAGATTTGTATTGTTTCTTTATAGTAGTATATGGTAGTTTTTCTCAAGTCTTGCTTCCGAGAAACCTCTGTGTGGGCAGCGGTACTGCCAGATGTTGAAGCAATTAATTTAAATGGCAGATTTAATCAATAGTTTTTGAGAAATAAAAATAATCCTGACTCTAATAATCTGCTACTTCTTATTCTGGCCCTGCCTCCCTCCTCCTCCGGAGCAGCGATGGCTGGGCCGACAGGTACGACGTCACAGATGGATACCAGAGGGAGGCCGCTGGCGGCATCACCATTAAGCTAAAGTCTGCGTATGTAAGGTGGTTTGATGATTATTACCTGAACCTGAAGCCGGACGCCAACCAGAGGAACCCCTGGTTCCCTGAGTTCTGGCAGCACCGCTTCCAGTGCAGGCTGAGGGGCCATCCGCAGGAGAGCACCACCTTCAACCGCACCTGCACCTGTTAGTACAACACAGAGCTCACACACCATCCAGTCTGTTTCAAAGGGTTTGACGATTCATCTCAATGAAAGAGATTAAGGTGATTGGTTTCTTCTTATGAGCAGGTCTCTGTTCTCCACAGGGAGAGAGTCTCTGCGTCATCAGTATGCCCAAGACACCAAGATGGGCTTTGTCATTAATGCCATTTATTCCATGGCGTACGGCCTACATGCCATGCAGCAATCTCTCTGTCCAGGATATAAGGTATGATAGTGAATATTATGCACATTTGTGGTTTCACGTTGAGCATGAAAGTATTGACTGTTACTGTGGGGCTTTTCTCCAGGGTTTATGTGAGTCTATGAGGCCCATCGATGGTCGCAAGCTGCTGGATTTCCTGATGAAAACCAACTTTACTGGTGTTTCCGGGGAGATCATCCTCTTTGACCAGAACGGAGACTCACCAGGCAGGTGAGGATTATAATGGGGGAGGAGGAAAGGAAGCAAATCAAGAAGTAGAAAGAAACGTTGAAGGAGTGCATGTGCTGTTTCATGCACACTGTGTGTATGTGCCTCAGGTATGAAATCATGAACTTCAAGCACATTGGCGAGGATGAGTATTCTTACATCCACGTGGGGAGCTGGGATCAAGGCGGCTTAAAGATGAATGATGAGGAAATCTGGAGCAACAACAGCGAGTTCATCCAGTCAGTCTGCTCGGAGCCCTGCCAGAAGGCACAGATCAAGGTCTGTATGCATCACCAGATGCACAACGTTTTTCATTGCTGGTATAAACGTGTTGCACAATTAACAACGTAGATTAAAATCCCTCATTTAAGTCACAGTAGAAGTACAGAACATGTATTTATGTTTGCACGCAAACACTTGAGCTGCCTCAGGCTGTAAATTATTTAAATTCATTATCTAAATCAATGGTTCTCAAACTAGGGGGTTGATACCTCCAGGGGTGGAGCAAGACAACAATGTGATGATTTATAGAAACTGAATAAAATTTGAGGAACAATTAAAGTTAGGATAATTGATCAATTGTTACACAATATATAAAAAAAATTAAAATATAAATATATATCGTCAGGTTTCAGCCCTCAAAAGGACAGATGTATAGATAATGGATGGATGATGGATGATGGATGAATGGATGGATGCATTAATGGATAGATAGATGGATTTATTTCTTTTATCTGCTTCGACCGCCCACAGGAATAATGAAGGTTGCAATCCTGGTAACATCCAACATGTGGTGTCATACACCAGTGAATATATCAAACAGGACCCACACACAAGCCTTAACTTGATCCCACAGGGTTACAACCTCAACATGGGTCCAATCAGATCTTTGAGTTCTCCACCGTGGGACTCAGAGAAACTCTTTGTTCAGACTTTCATCATCTCCCATCAGGCTCCTCTAATTCCCTTCAGCCTCTTGGAGAATAATGTTGCCTGTCTCCTCCTCATCATCATCCCAAAAGTCTCAAACATTAAACCGACCCCACACATGTCACACCGACTCCCTGTGAAGTGTAAACTTGAAGGGAATTCAAACCTCCAGGCTGGTAAAGTTTGGAGAAGATCTGCAAGCCCATAAGTTTAGGATACACACCCCAACCCTGTAATACCCAATAACACCATCACTCCACTTCCTCTCTATCTAATCAGAGCAGATAGAAGTCTGTACTGTAAATAGGTTAAAGTGAGTATTATTAGCAAACGTTTAAGTTTAAGTATATAAGTAAAAGTACTACAGGAGTTGAGGCAATGTGCTTTACAATCATAGCAAAGGAAAAACGACGACGAGTATAGATAAAGAGATAGATGAATCAAAAACAATGCAAAGAAAAATGCACTTTAAAACACAGAAGATAATATAAAATATATAAAAACAAGATACAATTATAATAACGCTGAATTAGAAGAAAGATTAAAAAGATAGGACTTTAAATTAGATTTAAAATGATTGATTTGGGACAGGAGACTGTTCAACAGATAACAGATTATTATAACACTGCATAATTATAACTGATTTATTAATATGCAAACAGCATATTTGGGTTGTAGTTGGCTGAGTATGTAATATTTAATGCGTACATTATACTATTTTAAATTTGATTTAAAGTAGTATCTGTAGCAGTGGAATACTGTATTTACAGTTCCTTTGAAATGGAATCATGTAAAGTGCAGATATTTCATAATTGTACTTGTACAATAGAGTATTAATTTCTCCATCATCAGTTCTTAGTTCTTACTGTACAGCTCCGGTTTTATAACTGAGGTCCAATGAGATTCTACAGTAAAAACTCTTTCTCCTCTGATCCCCAGACGAAGAAATCCTCATTTCTTTGCTTACAGGGCGAACACAGTGTAAGATTAACTACGGAGAAGAGCCACTGGAGCTCTGAGACCTTTCTGCCCCTTCACACTAGTGTGTGTGTGTGTGTGTGTGTGTGTGTGTGTCCAGGTGATCCGTAAAGGAGAGGTGAGCTGCTGCTGGACCTGCACTCCCTGCAAGGAGAACGAGTTTGTGTTTGATGAGTACACTTGTCGTGCCTGTGTCCTGGGCTCCTGGCCGACAGACGACCTCACTGGTAAACACTTTATCTATGTCTCTGATAACAAGGTTTCCTGCTGTAATTCAGGATTTGGCCAAACCGACTGTTTGAAACGCTTTTGCTCCCCTTTTGCAAAGAAACAATATTGTAAATACTGTATTCCCACAATATATAAGTATCTTATATTTTACAGTAAATACTATCACACTTGAAGACTACTCGAATCTTTGCTTGAACCTTTCTGGGTCTTGTTTTTTCTCTGTATCCCTAAAGGTTGTGAGCCGATCCAGGTGCAGTACGTGCTTTGGGGGGATCCAGAGCCCATCGCTGCCGTGGTCTTCTCCTGTCTGGGCCTCATGGCTACACTTTTTGTTACCTCAGTATTTATCAAGTAATTATAGCCACAGCGTTCACACAACTTAAAAATCCACAGGTCAAAACTGTCCTGATTTAGGGATCCAAGACCAAGAGATTCAGGATTTTTATGTCTTGTCCACATAGATTTGTACAATATGAAATTTGAAGCACTTTTAAGCCAAAACTTTTTGCATTTTTAACTCTGGTTGAAAACTACTATGTTTGTGACAATTCAAACAACAAATCATTTCCGTTATTCTATAGATTTTGGGACACTCCCGTGGTCAAGTCGTCCAGTCGTGAGCTCTGCTACATCATCCTGGCTGGAATATGTCTGGGCTACCTGTGCACCTTCAGCCTCATCGCCAAGCCCCACATCATCTACTGCTACCTCCAGCGGCTCGGCATCGGCCTGTCCCCCGCCATGAGCTACTCCGCCCTGGTCACCAAGGTGCTTCCTTTTCTGTTTCGCTGTGAGACAGAATGAGACACATTGAACATTTCGAGTGATGTAGTTTTCACTTCCTGTATCACGTAGTTTCATCATCAGCTTCATTTGTTTTGAGTTTTCTTTGAGTTTAGTTTAGTTA